GCCTGCGTGACGCTCCACCGAGTAGCTGGAGTGTCACGGAGTGTCGTGGGCAGTAAGTATGCATACGCATGCTGCGTGCATGTTGCGTGCATGCATTTGATGGATGACCAGCCCCGTTGCACCCCACCAGTTTCACCACGATCTGGAACCCACCACTGGTCAATAGATACTGTATATTGTTTTCCAGATCCTATACTGGCATTGATGTAGCCTGCAGGTGTCAGAATTCTGTGTCAAAACATATTAGTGGAAGTCTAAGGTTCAGTTATGTAGAAGTATAACTATATTTATATAACAGAGGTTCCCAAACCCAGGCCATGGACCGACCCCAGTCCCTGGTCCGCCAGGTACCAAGTGCTGCAAGTGAGCGTACCCCATCCGCGTCTGCGTGGGATTCAGGCAGAGCACAAAAGCATGGACCCTCCCCATCTGTAGAAGAACCAACCTCCATGGAACCGGTTCCTGGTGCCCAAAAGATTGGGGGCCACTGCTATATAATATAGTTACGATGTTTAAAAAAAGAAGCAGAAAAGTTCAAAACTCTTTCCACCGAGGTATTAGGAGCATTATAATTACTTGAGATCATTTTCTCAAACATCATGATATTTATGTACCATGCACACTGGCCTACCCAAGAACAGCATTGCAATGCGTCCTCTGCAACAGAAAATACAACTGGTTACTACAGGTAGCTGCTAAACAAGCTGTCAATTGCACTGACATACAGCACAAAATTCTACACAAGGGTGCTAGTCATAAACTTTAGATGTGGATAATCACCTTTATATTAGAATTTTATTTATTTATTTATTTGTATAGCCACCTTCTCGCCTGAGTGGTTTTGGATAGCTCACAAGAATCCTTTCAGTTATCAGTTATAGTCTTATGTCATTACAAGTATCTCTTCATAGAAGGCATTTCACTTTGACTGACTCCAGTGATCTCCTATTGATACTATTATCAGAAGATTCAGATAAGCTTTCCAGAACATTTGCATTCTTGCAATGATGGAAAACGTGAAACTGCTGAATGCATCCTTTTAGATTGCTCAGTGGGCTCCCTTTATCTCTAGATCAGGGGTTTTCAAACATTTTCATACTCCAGAACCTGCTATTAAAAAACAATTCTTAGACCAAGAAGCACTAGTGATAGAAATGTGACTGCATTGAAATGAACTTTTAATCCCCCCCCCTTGATCTTCATAGAGCCCCATCAGGTCTTCACAATTTGAAAAGACCTGCTAACCCTAACCCTAACCCTAGGTTACATAGATCAATTCTGTTTCCCTTCCATGTTTTGCACGTTCCACTATGGAACCTATCCATAACTTTCAATTTGGCAGCTTGTAAAATTTAGCAGGAATTGACCTGAAGAAAAAGAAACCGACTGATTTGATTTCCCTTGCTTATGTAAACAGTATTCACCATTTTTGACTTGAAAGGGTGCTCAATCCTTTCTTTGAGAAAATGGCTAATTATGTTAGGGCGTTATGCTTTGATGTCTAAAATAACTTCATATTAGAAAAGTAAATAGTTTAGTCCACTTTTAACTGGAAGGTATGTTTAGATTATAATTTGCTTTATGGATTTGTACTACATCCTAAATTTGGGTTTTTAAATGTTTAGAATCATATTTCAGTTGGGTTAGAAAATAGATTCTGTTGCTGACCTAATTTATTATAGTTCATAATAATAGTTACTGATTTATATTGTGTTAATCAACACTGCCTGACTTGATTTTTCTTGCCTCACACCTTCTAATTATTCACCTCCTTTCTTCCCACACATATGGAAACACTGTAGTGCAGCCAACACTTATGATTGGTAACCATTGTAAAAAGGTACTGGTTGGAAAACTATGATGCCATGCTGTTATCAAATAGTGCAGTGACAATTTATATTCGGGACAAATGAAAACTCGATCTTCTTTCTTAGTAATGTAGAACTTCTTTAAAAAAAAAAAGCCAAGTATACAAATATACAGAACCTGTACTAATAACATGGGAAATGGGATATTATTTCCTTTTTTCTGTAAAGTTGGGAGCCTGGGAGTTTTACTACTTTAGAACTCATAGCTCATGAGACAAGTCGCTGACTAAAAGATGTTTTCACTTTCCTATTGGTCAGCTGGTGGGAGCTCTGATTGGCTAATGGTGCTCCTTGCTGCTTTGTGTTCCAAGAGCAACAGGAGCAACAGTGATTGGCAGTGATCTTCAAAACATTTTGGAGGATTCGAATGGAAGCAATGTCATGAGGGAATTCCATTTTAGCTTCTTGTTCTGCCTGTCTGATTACTTGGATGCCATTGGCTGAACTGTTAGATTTACCATAGGAGGCCTGTAAAACTCTTCCAAATGTACCAGCCAATGTTTGTATGAATGGAATCACTTTCAATAGTCTATGTCGTAAATCCAGCAAGCCCTGTGATTACATACAAAAGGTAGATGGGTATTTTTATTTTATAAGTTAACTGTGTTTAGCCAAGTTTGCCAAACCCTACTGGAGCCATCCAGCCATCCATCCATCCATCCATCCATCCATCCATCCATCCATCCATCCATCCGATTTTCATATACAGAGTATTAGGATCCTTTCATTATTAAATCTATGTTTGCCCTCATCCAAGGATATGGCTAGCATTAGAAAATCAGTAGCAATCCTGTCTTCAGTGAACTTGTGTTTGTATGACTGCTCTTCCACCTGCAATGCCTTACATGAGTTTTTAAGGGCTAATACAGCATATGGAATTTGTGGCTTTCTTCAAAATTATTACAGTATTGCATTCCCCGTGTTCCTGGCCATGCAGGCAAGATCTGCTGAAAATTGTAGTTTACAACATCTTGATAGCCAAAGGATTTTATCTTTGATCTAATCTATTTATGAACTCTTTATTTGCATTCTTTCATTCAGGTACTCCCTTTTCACTGCAGAGGCAGTATCAAAATAACTTGACATGACGCTTCAAAATAATTGAGGTAGCTGCTGGATTAGAGAAAATGGCATCCTTTTGAATTAGAATTCTGAATATCACAAAATTAAATTGCATTACCACACAAAGTGGAACTGTATTTGCACAATGAGCATTGTACTTTATATATGTGGCTTGGTAGAGAGACGTTGGACATCTAGAAACTTCAGTACCAGAGACAGTAAATAAGAATTTTCTTTAGGATGTTTTTATTTAATACCCTTTATTAAATAAAAAATCAATGGTGCAGTCATGCATGTTGCTTTCAGATTTGAAATATCAGGCTGTTAAACTCTGCCCATCACTTTAAGAAAAACTGCCAGCCCAGTTGTCTCCTTTTGAGATGGCAGTGACCTTCTCCAGCTGTCTCAGGAAGAATGGTTCAGGAAAAAATATTCAGCCGGGTGACTCTTCGTGTTTAACACATTTGTTTTGATTGGGCAATCACAACTCTAGGCTGTTTGATTTAGTTGCAACAAGTGCTTTGGATAACTACACCAGATGTCTTTAAAACAGATTTGGTTTCTGTGTAGGTGTGTGTGCATGTATTGTTCAAATTATTTTTCTTTTCATTTTTAGCAAATGAGAAGATTGAAGACATCAATGGCTGTCCAAAGAACAGATCTCAAATGGTAAGATTTTTCTTTGTTCTATAATTCAATTTCCCCCCTTTTTTGCAGGTGGATTGATGGATAGATGTAGTATTAGATTTGGTTGTGCTGTTTTCCTAAATTATAGATATACTCATAAAGAAATTAGTCTAAACTCAGTGGGATTGTGTTCTGAATCAAGCTATTTAGGACTTAATAAATCAATATTCCTTTCTTAAACAGCCTTCAAAGATAACAACAACAACAGCAACAAAAATAGAAACTGTCAATTTATAATTGCTTCTACTATTTTTTTTTTGACCAGGAACAAAATAGCTTCAATTCCTGCCAGTTTGTGGGTTTATTATAATATCTCTAAATTCTACATCTGTTAAATTCGTGTAACCATCTACATAAATAGAAATAAAAATATGGATATATAGTAGATGTAGACAGAGATATATGGATATAAAATATATTCATAATATTGACATGTTGCAATAGTAAAAGCAGCACTAATTCAGCTTTTATGTATACTATTTAATACTAAAGAGGTGTAAGTACAATTAGACAATTAGAAATATATGGTAAAGGGATAAGTAGAGCACAGTGTTTCACAACTATCAAAATGCAATAATAATAAATAAACGGCTTAGCAAATTATCCTTTTATTAAACTCTGCATATTTGGAGAACTTTGTAAATTTGTTTTGGATGGAATCCTATTTGGCTTAGAATAACATATGCCTGAGCATACCATATAAGCATAGAATTGTAATTTAAAGCATTCATAAATTGATTGCAATTTAAAGCAAGCAATGTCAGGACTGCATATGTTGCAATCTAAGACGTCCAAGTGGCCACAGAAGGCATTTTAGTTAAAAATAGCATGGAAAAGTTCCGCAAAAGCTGCAAGTACACTTTCTAAAAAGCCTTTTTAAAATAGCCAAATACATAACCCTTGAAATGTGTATTGCATACAAACAACCCAGATTTATTTTACCCCACTGTTAGTGCACGCTGGTATGATCAAGATCAGGGCTGTAATGCACAAATTTGTGTTTTATTAAGCAACATATGGTTTTTATACAGAAGTTATGCTGAGAACATCACATCTTCTGACAAATTACCCACAATGGTGTTTTACCTAAAGCAAACAGTGCATATTCTCAGTAGCTTCAGCTAATAGTTTCATCGTTTTAGCAATCTCTGCCTTAAGTGTAGTGGCAATGAAAAATGGTGATGTAATTTAAAACATGTGTGTTATCTTACATGCACGCACAAAGAAAGAAGGTAGCCCAATGCAATTGTTATAAAAATTGAATACTTAGAATAAATGATCCCACATTAGAAGGAGGAGCTAGACATTTGGCCATAAGTAGACGAAGGAAGTAGTGAGACATCCAGCTAGCAACATCAGACACACAGCAATATAGCCTTGACAAAGGAACCACAAGTTTATCATATCATTAGACCCGGAAATAATTGTGGTGCTTGTGGTGAACTGGTGAATCTAAATTGTTCTGGGTTGGGCTTAGATTCCTGAAAGGTGCCTTTGGCTTCTCTGTGACTTCTCATTTCCACTTGGATTTATTTGCTTTAATCTCATCTTGGATGTTTTGAAAATGTAACACGGAAATGATTTCAAGAGCTAGCATGAATAAATGCAGCCAGCTGGATTAACTTTCCAAATATCCTTTCTTAGGAGAATTTCCGATTGGAGAATGAAAGCCATTTTAACACCACGGATTTAGCTGACTTTGAAAGAGGTTGGCCACCTAAGACATTACACACACACACACCACACACACCTACAACACACACACACACACACACACACACATATACAGACACACAGAGGGAGGGAAGGAGAGAGAGAGAGAGGGAGGGAGGGAGTCAGTCACTTTTGGTCTTGGCCATTTTTGCACTATAAATTCCATGCAAAGATAGGTTTGGAAATGTATGGTGTTATATTTAAAAATGGGGGCATTTAAAAAATAGTTTAAAAATGGTTGGCATTTATCTTAGGTAATATACTTTCCTTCCTTCATACACTTTGTTAATATATTTTAAATATTGATATATTAGAAGATAATACAATGCACTATTAATATATGTACACTAAGCAGGCCATAAGGAAATTCAGTATTAAAAGCAACTCATCATTAATAGCTTAAGAATTTTGGAATCAGGCCATGACAAAAAAAGATGTTCAAATAAGAGCATTTTAATAATCCTTTTCAATGTTGGGAGAGAAAGTGCTAAGTGATCTCTCTGAAGAAAGGAATTCACTACTGAGAAGATGCTGAAAATCAGTTCTTCATCTTGCCCATGGCAAGATCTGTGCAGAATATTCTGATAAATTCTAAATTTAGGCAGACAAAGTTATACTACTATCCTTTGGCTAGAGAAACTATGTATTTTGAAAAAAGGCCATCATTTAGGAATTGAACAAATCAGGAACTTCTGAAGATTGAAACAATCATTTAATTGCATATACAATTCAAAGTTTCAGCATTCTATCATCAATGGACCAGTTTAAAGTGGGACTTCATTTATTTGCATCTTTAGTTCATTTAGTTCAATGGGATTCATTTCTGGGTAAATGTACATAAATTGATTCTTCAATACATAATATTGCAGATATTTATTTCATTAATGATATATATATATAAGTACTATTGAGAATCTTTAAACACTCTTTTGAATAATGTTGAGTAATCTTTGGAAAGAAGAGCTCTGCTTGAAATATGGGCTTTGTTCATACTGCTTCCATTATAAAGCCAAATACAGATTGATTTTAATTTAGTAAGAACCCAGTCATTGTAGATTATAGTTTAGGATTATATGTAAAGTTTGCTATCAGACCTCGTACGCAAAACTTTGGACAACCACTAGATGGAGAGAAAGTTACAAATTTCTATATCTCTGTAGTACCATCTCATGGTCTCCAAGTTATTACAGTCCAGGTTTGGTAGTTCAGCAAACCACTTTACAGTGCTGAATCTAAATAATACTTATTTCACATGTTATCAGAAGTTGTACCCTCTTCTGAGAGTCTAACTTTTAAGTTGGTGGCATGAAGCTGGTTTTTCTGAGCTGATCTCAATTTTGCTGTAAAACCATCCTTTAAAAATATTAAATATTTACTTGAACGGTCACTTGGTTATTTGATTTTAAAAAAAACCTAAATAATATCCAACACCAGTATTTGTAGACTATCTTATTACCATTTTAAAAAAAATTCTGGATATCAAGAACACTTTTCATTGTAAATAAACAAATTTCACCTCTATTAGGAAAATAGTCAGTACAGATTAGAAGAGCAGTAGTGCTTTACAGCCCTCTCTAAGTGGTTTATAGAGTCAGCATATTTTCCCCAACAATCTGGATCCTCATTTTATCAACCTTGGAAGGATGAAAGGCTGAGTCTCACCTTGAGACGATGAGAATCGAACTGCCAAACTGCAGTCAACTGGCAGTCATCAGAAGTAACCTGCAATACTGCATTCTAACCACTGCTCCACCACGGCTCAGAATGCTGAACTGAAGTGGCTGGAATCTTATGAAATTCTTTTATACTATTAATGATGTTTGCTATCTTATGGGGATTATCTATAGAATTATCTATACAATTATCTGACTATACATCATCATATTTCTACAGATGCTTAAGAATTCATTTAAAGGTTTTGTAAATATGGGTTGAACTGATTCTTAAGTGCAAAGTGTGACATGTACTGGGTATAACATTGGATGGAAAAACTGAAATCTTTCCCTAGAAAAGACTTAGCACACATGC